CTTAGTGAATCCTAGAACATCCAATGTGGTAACTTAGAATGAGCTAGCAATGATGGTAATTGAAATAATTGAAAGAAAATAGCATTTAAAAAGTTATATGTAGGGCGCCTGAGTGGCTCAGATGGTTAAGCAAGCGTCTGCCTTCGGCTCAGGTCATGATCTCGGGGTCCTGGGATTGAGTCCTGCATCAGGCTCCTGCTCAGCAGGGAGTCTGCTTCTCCCTCTCCCTCTGCCTCTCCCCCTGCTTGTGCTCTCTCTGTCTCGCTCGCAAATGAATAAATAAAAAAACTTAATAAAAGAAATAGTTATATGTATGTGAAAAGAAAAAAACCTTGTAATCTCCTTGGCCTCCTTATTCAGAGACAATTAGAAAAATTGGACCCATAAAGGGACAAAAGAAGAAAGATACCTCAGGAAATATTGCAAAGAATCCATTTCCAAATTATGCCAGCAGTAAAACAAATGGATTCTTTGTTCTCTACTACTTGCCTGGGATGAGTAAAGCTTGTAATGGGTAAGAGCTATTTCCAAAGTTAACTAGTGAGAAGGGAATCATGCATTTGTCTCATTTCCCCCTCCCTGCAACTAGGCTGGTTCCTGAAGTTAAACTCTAAAATGCAGTGTTCTTAAAAAGAGAGAGAAATGTATACTTGATTTCTGAGAAACTGCATTCTAATTGCCTTTTTAGATCTTTATAGCAAGATCCAAAGCAATTTATAGGCATATATATGCAATTTCAAAAGTCCCTTCAAAAAAAACTCATAGAATATTTGATAATAAATGGCAAGGGGATGGTAACAGTGTGTTTCATAGGTTATTGTGTATTTGTGGGCATTTTCTTTCAGCTATTTTTCTATGTATTTTAAGTATATTTAATGATAATATATATGTACTTATTATTTCTTACTTAGAATTCAAATTATTTCATTTTTCTTAAATAGTCACAGGGAAACCATTTTTTAATAGTTTCATGATATTTCACTTGATAAATGTTTACTATTAAAACATTATGATGTTATTAGACAATTACCTCATCACTTATATTTTGCTATTAGAAACACTCTGCCATAAACATTTTATGACATACAGCTTCCCCCCAGTCCTATATTTTAAGATATTTTACCATAGGTTAGTTTCTGAGAAAAAGCATTTTGGTATCAAAGGGCATGTACTTATTTGGTACTACTGATATTATAATGGACTGAATTTCTTCTCACAAGATTGTACCACTTTCCTCTATCACTAGGCAATACATGAAAATGCCCATTTCAATGCATCTTCATTGGGAAAAGTGTTATAAACAGGAAAAAAATTGGCTTGAATTCACTGAACACAAAATCCAGAATGTAATATTCACATGACATGCTTTTGAAAGGATGCGTGGTTTTCCAAGTAATTAATTTTTTACAATAATAGCAACATTTAAAAAATGTTAAATGTAAGATTCCCCAATTTTTTCTTTGGTGGTAAATATCAGTCTTGACATATATTTAGAATTTGGATCTGGAATCTAAAAGTTTAGCTCTTAGATTTTTGAAAGAGTGATTATAAGTTGACTCATGATGGGCATTTTAGTAGTACACATTGATGTGAAATAACGTGTTTAGGATTTTAATGTTGCAATTAAGAAGCACCTCTGTTTCTGCAAGGCTAACCCCTTCACTTCCATCCAGCCCAGTTCCCTCTCATCTCACTCTGGGAAGTTGTCCTGCAATTATCCCCACACTTTCCTACTTCATAAATTTCTGTATCATGATTGGATCATCAGCACATAAAAATACCTTAAAACTGTCCCTTTAGAAACGAAGTATTGTCTTTGACAGAAATTACCCTACATTTATCCAAGGGGTTACCTTTTCTTATTTCAGTACCTTTATTTTATAACCTTCCATTTTCTTCTCTACTTAATCTGATCATGCTTTTGTTCCCATACTTCACCATCATGACTCAGATTGAGGCTGTTAAAGATCTTCATATTGAGAGAAAGTGTAATTTCTCTTTTCTCATCTTTTTCAAACTTTAGTTGAAAGTGGAGTTGACAAGTTAAAAACAAACAAAAAAAGCTCTATGCTGATAATTCTGAAATACCAAGCTCTTTTCTGTGTCTTTTTCTACCACACAGAGCAGACAGTGATCTTTTAAATACATAAGTAAGGCGATACTGTTCATTTGCTTTAAAAAAAATCCCAGTGGCTTGATTTTGAAATTAGAATGAAATCTTCAGTCTTTGAAGATCTCCAACCAAGATGCTGGTCTGCAGCATCATCTCCTAATCCCTCTGACCAATTCACCCTCCTCTTGGGTTTAAGAGTATGCCTTCTTTCTGACCTCTATCATGCCACCTATGGCAGAAACCACTGCAACTACACTGTCTAATGTTCACCCAACCACATACACAGAAAATGTCTGGTCCCTCCAGCAGGTGCCTACAAAGGGCAGGGAAGATAAGGGAGGTAAAACCTCATGTGGCAAACTTTGACCACTGAAAGACAGAATATGAAAGGAGCGGAGAAATAGTTTTTGCTTTCTTCTATCTTCCCTAATAGACTGTTACGAGATTCCATATGAACCCTACAGCAACGTACACCCTGAATGAGCAACAATTTTTAATTAGCTTAATAAGGCTCTCCTTGTATTTTAATTTACTCCCCTGACTCATTTCCTTTCCCCCCTCACATTTCCTACCCTGAGAGTATACTCTTCCTAATACAGCGTTAGTACATAAGCTTGCCTCAGGCTCTGTTTTCCAAGGAAACCAGGCTATGCAGTGTGCAAGGTCAACAAGATCAACCCACAGCTGACCTACCCTTTTTCGTTCTCCACCAGTATGCCTGATCCATTATATTCTAGCTGCACTGGCTAATTCCTATTCTGGAACCGTTTCTTCTTCTTCTACCACTCTTCTATATCTTCATCTGGCTGCCTCCTGTTCATCATTTATGTCTCAGCTCAAATATGAGCTCCTCAAAGAGGCTTTGCCAGCCCACCCTGCCTAAAGAAGCACCCTCCTGCCATTCTGGCACTTCTCATATCCTGTTTTATTTTTTTCATTTCCCTTGATTGACTTTAAGAAGAAGGTATCAAAATTTCCTTCTGCCAATAGTAGGACATACTACCCACCATCTCACCAAATGGTTGTTATGTGTCTTCTAGTCAAGTCATTTGACTTACTGTCATTTCTTGCTTTGCCTGAAATAGTCTTAGCAGCCTTTTCTTCTCTTTATGCTGCATGGACCCAATCATAGGATATTTTCTTTTCTTTTATTCTTTTTTTTAAATTTTTTATTGTTATGTTAATCACCATATATTACATCATTAGTTTTTGGTGCAATCTTTTCTTTTATTCTTAAGTTGCATTTATACAAGGTATTTTTAATTGAATTTTATGAGAAAGGAGTAGAGGTTGAAGAGTATGTAAAATGGAGGGTTACTTTTAAGTGTACAAAGCAGAGCACAGCACAACTATCTACCACACTTACATTAAAAATTGGACACATGTGTCCAAAATATTTGGGCTACACCCACAGCTGTGACTATCTCACTCTTTTTCTTAGGCCCCACATCCCTACCATCTTGCTGGACCTTCTCCTTACCTGTGCTTCTCACCAGTTCCAACTGCTTCAGGTCCTCAGGTGATGTCATTCCTTTATGAGCAGCCTTGGGAAATCTTGAATTATTCTAACTTTATTACGGAGAGATATTTGGTGAGTTTGTTTGTTTGTTTGTTTGTTTGTTTTAATCAATCCAGCACACCTCACCCTTGTGAGAGGCCTAGAGTCTATCTTTTCCTAACTGAACAGGACTCATAGAAGTACTACTCAGGAAAAGACAGATCCTTCCCTGAATAATTCTGTCACTAGTTCTCAAATGGACTATTTCTCACAGCTACACCCACAAGCATCTTTTTTGTTACTGATGTTTATGAGATAAAGATTGGTTCAAATAAATGATGGAGCAAGAATGCCCCTGTAGAATAAGCACTATGTTCCAGAAGAAAAGACTGTTTACAGAATTTAGAGTCAATCTGTTTTATCAGGTCACATCACCACGAAAGCATAAGTTATCCAAAAAAGCTAATGTTTGCAACTGATCCAAAGATGCATTTATTCCATCCTCTACCTCTGCCTCCCTTCCCCTAGATGGTGTTTAGACATAAAAGAGCCTTTCAGTGCTTTTTGGGTTGAAATTGTGCTGGCAATTTTTGTTCCTTGCCGTGGTTAAAAATTTAGCTCACTTGTTTATTTTTTTCCTGTGTATCATGCTTGTATGTGTAACAAGTTCCAGACCTCAGATCTGGCAGAAGCTTCTAAAACAACATTCAGGAATGATATTACTATGAGACACTCTTAGATTTAGACTCTATGGAATGTGTGGTTTGTCTTTTAATCTAGGTGTATACTCTGAGTAATTCTGCACCATTATGAATCCCTTAGCGGTTATAGAATTTAAAATTGGAAAAATGTATGTGTGTAGGTATGTATTTATATAAGTTTAAATGTGTATCCAGTGGTCTTGATGATATATTACTATACAAACATAATTCTTGTCTTAATGCTGAATAAGCACTCTAGGAAAAAATGAACGGCAATAAGATACTGTTCCTTTGAGGACAAGATAATTCCAAGGGAAATTGGGAAATGTTCGTACAAATCCTCAACATTTTTTTATCTATTTTTTAATTTCCTGTTAGTGTGTTAGGTTTCAACTGTTTAATAAACTTGATAATTAAATTCACCTCTAGCCAACTCTACTGAATTTTTGTGTTCAGTCTCATTTGGACAATTGCAATGTGTTCTCCATAACAACAAATTTACAGTCAATATTGGTATGAACTGATTTTTTGTAAAGTGGCATATTTAAAGAAAACCAAGTTGAGTTATTTACTTTGCAGTGCAGTGAAGTGAATTGAAATGAAAACAAGTAGAGTCTGGTTACCTGGGTCTGGTCCTGTTTCTTACTGGATCTTGTTTCAATCTGAGAAAATTCACATAAACTGTCTGGTCCATTTTAAATTACATATTAATTAAAGGAGTTAGATGAAATGATTTCTCTGTCTGTACATCTAGTTGAGGTAACAAAAAGATTATATTTAAGGTCAGAATTAGGCTATCTTGTTGGGTTTTTTTTGAGGTATAATTGATATAGTTTCAGGTATACAACATAGTGATTTAATATTTGTATATATTGTTAAATGATCACCTTAAGTCTAGTTAACACCCAACACCATATATAGTTAACAATTTTTTTCTTTTAATGAGAACTTTCAAGATCTACTCTTTCATTTTTATTATTTTTTAATTTAATTCCATTATAGTTAACATACAGTGTTATATTAGTTTCAGGTGTACAATATAGTGATTCAACAATTCCACACATCACTCAGTGTTCATCATGATAAGTGTGCTCCTAGTCCCCTTCACCTATTTCACTCTCTCCCCACCAACCTACCCTCTAGTAATTATGTTTTTTCTCTATAGTTAAGAATCGGGGGGTGCCTGGGTGGCTCAGTCGTTAAGCGTCTGCCTTTGGTTCAGGTCATGATCCCAGGGTCCTGGGATTGAGCCCCACGTCGGGCTCCCTGCTCGGCGGGAAGCCTGCTTCTCCCCCTCCCACTCCCCCTGCTTGTGTTCCCTCTCTCGCTGTGTCTCCCTCTGTCAAATAGATAAATAAAATCTTAAAAAAAAAAAAAAAGAATCGGCTTCTTGGTTTGTCTTTTTTTTTTCCTTAGTTTGTTTCTTAAATTGCACATATGAGTGAAACCATATGGGTTTTGTCTTTCTCTGACTGACTTATGTCACTTAACATAATATACTCTAACTCCATCCACATCAGTGCAAAGGGCAAGACTTCATTCTTTTTTATGGCTGAATAATATATATATGTCATCTATCAATGGACACTTGGGTTGCTTCCATAATTTGGCTATTGTAAATAATGCTGCAGTGAACATAAGAGTGCATATATCCCTTTGAATTAGTGTTTTTATATTCTTTGGGTAAATACCCAGTAGTGCAATTACTAGATTGTTAGGGTAGTTCTCTTTTTTTAATTTTGAGGAACCTCCATACTCTATTCCACAATGGCTGCACCAGTTTGCATTCCCACCAACAGAGCACAATGATATATATAAAATATTTTATATTTTACAGTATATAGTAGTATTTTTTTCAAATTTTTATTTAAATTCTAGTTAGTTTACATACAGTGTAATATTGGTTTCAGGAGTAGAACTTAGTGATTCATCACTTACATATAATACCCAGTATTCAACTCAAGTGCCCTCCGTAATACCCATTATCCATTTAGCCCATTCCCCACCCAACTCAGTTTGTTCTCTATAGTTAAAAGTCTTATATGGTTTGCTTCCCTCTCTTCTTTTTTTTCCTTTCCCCATGTTCATCTCTTTCATTTCTTAGATTCCACATATGAATGAAATCATATGGTATTTGTCTTTCTCTGACTGACTTATTTTGCTTAGCATAATACACTCTAACTCCAACCACATCATTGCAAATGGCAAGATTTCATTCTTTTTTGAGAGCTGAGTAATATTCCATTATACACACACACACACACACACACACACACACACACACACACACACACCATGTTTTCTTTACCCATTCATCACTTGATGGATATTTGGGCTCTTTCTATAGTTTGCCTATTATTGATAATGCTGCTATAAACATCAGGATGCACATGCCCCTTCAAATCAGCATTTTTGTATCCTTTGGGTAAATACCTAGTAGTACAATTGCTGGGTTGTAGGGCTGTACTATTTTTAACTTTTTGAGGAACCTCCATACTGTGTTCCAGAATGGCTGCACCAGTCTGTATGCCCACCAACAATGTAAGAGGGTACCCCTTTCTCTGCATCCTCACCAGCAACTGCTGTTTCCTGTGTTGTTAATTTTAGCCATTCTGACAGGTGTGAGGAGGTATCTGATGGTGCTTTGGATTTGTATTTCCCTCATGATGAATGATGTTGAGCATCTTTTCGTGTGTCTGTTGGCCAACTAGATATCTTCTTTGGAAAAATGTCTATTCATGTCTTCTGCCCATTTCTTGACTGGATTATTTGTTTTTTTGGATGTTGAGTTTGGTAAGTTCTTTATAGATTTTGGATACTAACCCTTTATCAGATAAAGTTATTTGCAAATATCTTCTCCCATTCCATAGGCTTTTTCAAAGTTTTGTTGATTGTTTTCTTTGCTGTGTAGAAATATTTTATCTTGATGAAGTCCCAATATTTCATTTTTCTTTTGTTTCCCTTGCCTCCAGCAATGTGTCTAGTAAGAAATTGCTACAGCCAAGGTCAAAGAGGTTGCTGTGTTCCACATTAGGATTTTGATAGTTTCTTGTCTTACATTTATTTAGGTATTTCATCCATTTTGAATTTATTTTTGTGTATGGCTTAAGAAAGTGGTCCAGTTTCATTTTTCTGCATGTAGCTGTCCAGTTTTCCCAACACCATTTGTTGAAGAGACTGTCTTGTTTCCACTGGATATTCTTTCCTGCTTTGTTCCAGATCAGTTGACGATATAGTTGTGTGTTCATTTCTGGATTTTCTTCTGTTCCATTGATCTATGTGTTTGTTTTTGTGCCAGTACCATACTGTCTTGATGATTACAGCTTTGTAATATAGCTTGAAGTCTGAAGTAGTGATGCCTCCTGCTTTGCTTCGCTTTTTCAAGATTGCTTTGGCTATTCACAAAATAGCCATAAAAATTTGTGGTTCCATAAAAATTTTAGGATTGTTTGTTCTAGCTCTATGAAAAATGCTGTTGGTATTTTGATAGGTATTGAATTCAATGTGTAGATTGCTTTGGGTAGTAGAGACATTTTAACAATATTTGTTCTTCCAATCCATGAGCATGAAATATTTTTCCATTTCTTTGTTTCTTCTACAATTTCTTTCATACGTGTTTTATACTTCTTAGAGTACAGATCTTTTTCCTCTTTGGTTAAGTATATTCCTAAGTATCTTACAGTGTTTGGTGTAATTGTAAATGGGATCAATTCCTTGATTTCTCTTTCTGCTGCTTTATTATTGGTATATAGAAATGCAACAGATTTCTGTACATTGATTTTTTTTCCTGCAACTTTGCTGAATTTGTGTATCAGTTCTAGCAAATTTTTGGTGGTCTTTGGTTTTTCTACATAGAGTATCATGTTGTCTGTGGAAAAGTGAAAGTTTGACCTCTTCCTTGCCAATTTGGATGCCTTTTGTTTCTTTTTGTTGTCTGATTACTGAGGCTAGGACTTCCAGTACTATCTTAAATAGCAGTGGTGAAAGTGGACATCCCTGTCTTATTCCTGACCATAGAGAAAATGCTCTCAGTTTTTCCCCATTGAAGATGATATTAACTGTGGGTCTTTTTTATATGGTCTTTCTGATGTTGAGGTATGTTCCCTCTATCCCTACTTTGTTGACATATTTTATCAAAAAAGGATGCTGTATTTTGTGAAATGCTTTTTCTGCATCTATTGAAAGGATTGTATGGCTCTGATCCTTTCTTTTATTAATGTGTTGTATCACGTTGATTGATTTGTGAATATTGAACCACGTCTGTAGCCCAGGAATAAATCCCACATAATCATGGTGAATAATTCTTTAAATGTGCCGTTGGATTCAGTTTGCTAGTATCTTGTTGAGAAATTTTGCATCCATGTTCATCACATTTACCTTATGAAATCAAGGTAAATCTGGCCTTGTAGAATGAGTTTAGAAATTTTCCTTCCATTTCTATTTTTTGAAACAGTTTGAGAATAGGTATTAACTCTTCTTTACATGTCTGGTAGAATTCCCCTGGGAAGTCGTCTGGCCCTGGACGTTTTTGTTGGGAGATTTTTGATTACTGATTCAACTTCTTTGCTGGTTATGGGTCTGTTCAAATTTTCTATTTCTTCCTGTTTCAGTTTTGGTAGTCTCCTTGTTTCTAAGAATGTATCCATATCGTCCAGATTGCCCAATTTGTTGGCATATAATTTTTCATAATATTCTCTTAAAAATTTTGTATTTCTGTGATGTTGGTTGTGATCTCTCCTCTTGATTTTATTTATTGGGGTTCTTTCTCTTTTCTTCTCTTTTGTGTAAGTCTGACTAGGGGGTTATCAATTTTATTAATTCTTTCAAAGAACCAACTCTTAGTTTTGTTGATCCGTTCTGTTTTTTGTTTGTTTCCATATCATTTATTTCTGCTCTAGTCTTTATTATTTCCCTTATTCTGCCAGCTTTGGGCTTTTGCTGTTCCTTTTCTAGCTCCTTCAGGTTAAGATTAGGTTGTGTATTTGAGGCTTTTCTTCTTGAGGTAAGCCTGTATTGCTATACACTTCCTTCTTATGACAAACTTTGCTGCATCCCAAAGGTTCTGGACTGTTATGTTTTCATTTTCATTTGCTTCCATGTACTTTTCATTTCTTCCTTAATTTCCTGATTAACCCATTCAATCTTCAGTAGGATGTTCTTTAACCTCCATGTATTTGTGGTCTTTCCAAATTTTTTTTGTGGTTGACTTCAAGTTTCATAGCATTATAGTCTGAAAATATACATGGTATTATGATTTCAATCTTTTTGTATTTATTGAGGCTTGATTTGTGACCCAGTATGTGGTCTATCCTGGAGAATGCTCTGTGTGCACTCAAATGTGTATTCTGCTGCTTTAGGATGAAATGTTCTGAATATATCTGTTAAGTCTATCTGGTCCAGTGTGTCATTCAAAGCCATTGTTTCTTTGTTGATTTTCTGCTTTGATGATCTCTCCATTGCTGTAAGTGTGGAGGTAAGGTCCTCGACCATTATTGTATTATTATCAATGAGTTTCTTTATGTTTGTTATTAATTGTTTTATATATTTGGGTGCTCACATGTTGGGGGCATAAATATTTACAATTGTTAGATATTCCTGTTGGATAGACCCTTTATTATGATATAGTGCCCTTCTTCATCTCTTATTAGTCTTTGGTTTAAAATCTATTTTGTCTGATATAAATATGGCTACTCTGGCTTTCTTTTGATATCCATTAGCATGATAGATTGTTCTCTGTCCCCTCACTTTCA